CTTTTGGAAGTGTCTAGAGTATTTTCTTAAAGGAATATTTGCTGGAGAATAGCACACTTAGTGAAGTGTTTTTTCTTCTCTCTGTGGATTTGGGAGGACTGTAGCAAAATGAGGTCTTTTCCTGGTAAAGTGACAAGCACTGCTTCTCTTTTTTTTTTTTTCTTTAATGACTAGACAACTGTAAGCCTTGAGATGAAATAAAGGCGTGAAAAAGTATAATCCTGTTCAAAATAGATAGTTACTCAGTAGTAGACTCTGAATCTTTTCATGAGCTAAACTTAATTTATGATCAACTGAATGTTCTGGAAACCATTAACTGTTTAGGCTGGGGAGGAGGAGGCAGAGAAACTAGCAGACTGATGCTTAAATTTAGAGTTCATGAGTCTGTTTATAAACAGATATCTTGAAGTGCTTGGTTTCTAGGGACAAGCCAAAAATGAAACAAGATTGTGTGGGCTCCTTTACACTAGGAGACCTCAGTTAACCTATAGAGGCTGTAATTTCAACAGGTAAGAAAAGGGAAGGCTGAAACAGCTGTTTAACTTGTGTTTAGATTTGTTATGTTTGACTGCAAAAGCTATTGGTGGAATTAGTCCTGCTGGCTAAGTGCAGATCTTCTCAAGTTAAAATCAAAACAGCTTTTTAGTAACCACTGTGGCTTGATCATAGATCTTGCTGTGCTTCATGTGGCCAACATTTGTCAGCCTTCATTTCTTGGTCTGAGGAGCATCCACTTGCTTTGTGTAACCTACCCTCAAAAAGCATAATTGAGTCCAGTGTCTTAAACTGTTTCAGTTAAACTGGATAAAGTGGGTAGTTGTCACTTCTTAAAGAGAACAAGACAATGTTGATGCTCTGACTTCAGCTGTGTCTAGAACTTTGTTTCAGAGCAGTGTGAACAGTAACCAGAGAAAAACTGAGAATTTCTCAAGTGGATTGTGCAGGTCATGACACTCGCACAGTGTTCAGCATGGTGTCATTAAACCTGAAAACAGAATAACAGATTGAATTTAAGATATAACCACTGACAGGTTCTTTTCTTCCTGTCAGAGGAACGTAAATCCTGTCTGAGTTCTCTACTTCTCAGCGGGTAGAAAGCGATGTTGGAAAGGATGCAGTATTTAATCACAGAATTGGATGGCTCTACCTGGAGACTTGCTCAGAGCAGGCTCTTCTCCATTAACTTGTACTGAGACACAACCTACTATCTTCTGATCTAAAAAGAAGATACTTAGCCTTAAGTATAAACTGAAGAGAGTTGAATTGTGCTTTAACAGCAGCTACACTTATCTCAGGTTCCTCTAGACGCTGACGGTTGAAAGAGGTGGATGGATTTCACGAGACTTCTCTTCCTGTAAAGAATAGATGAGTTAAACAGTGTCAACATCTTGACTGCTTCAAGGATACTTAATCTACAGAGTGGAGATAAACTGTTCCTTGCCTACAGAGAGAGCTTCCATTTGTGTTATTAGGGAGTTTCACCTCAAGCAACTGTTGTGTGAGAGCTTTGATCACTGATGCATAAACAGCTTTTTGGGCTGCAGAGGGGGAAATGCAAGTAAACAAACACTGGCTCCAGTAACTTCTCTTGTCGCTCAATTAGCGTTGGTCTTAAAGTGTACCTTTTTGAACTGGTGATGTGCTCTTAGTCTATTGTCCTGTAAATACAGGCATTTCTGCTATGTTTCTGCACTGATGCTGCCTATGTCAGTCCTGTGCCACATGGAACAGTATGGCACAGCCTTGTCTTGCTTAGTACTATCTAACTGTTCTTTGTTTCCACTTCCATTCTACAGCTGGGTCAAGGCTATTGTGCTACTTGAGGCTAGAAGAGAGAGGAGGAGGAGGGAGTGCTATGCTTCTGTCTCTCTCCTGCCAGCAGAGAAGAGCTGCTGTGCATATGAAGCTTCAGGGATTTTGGGGATACGACACTGGGGTTGTGCACTGAATAGATTGCCATGTTCCTCTGGGCTGCCTTGGAGAGGGATCATATTGATACTCAACTATCATATTCAGTTCCCTGCAGATTACTAGTGCTATTTGAATCTTTAAGTACCCAGACCACGAAGGCGAGCTTTAGATGTGACCAGGTTGGAAATATTTGTTTGCTATCAGATGCTTTTGTTTGCTAGTAAACTTTTGTTACAAGTTGTTAATGTCATATATGAAGACAAAGGTCAACTCAGCACTCTTCCGCCAGTATTGAGGTGGGATGGACAAGGAAGGATTTTAATATTCTCTGTTTAGCTCTGTAGAGAGCTTGCACTAATTCGAGTTGGACAGTGTTTTACCCCAAAGGTGGTTTAATATAGCCGGTAAACATGTGGTATCTGTATTGACAGGTGGGAGGAAGTTGCTATATTCTACAAGCCATTAGTAAATCATCTTGTATCGCAGTCGCATAGCGTGTTTTTAATGCAACATCCAGAGTCTGTTCTGTGTGTCTTGTGCAGTTGGTTTGTCTGATGTGGTAATGTCATAGGCAAGAGTATGAAGTTTGTTTCACAGGAATAGTGCTAACTTGAAACTCTTGTGTTGGAAAGATCACACAACAATTACAACAGCCTTAGGATGCTTGTTACAGGAATGCTCAAGGGTTAAGAACAGTCACAATTGCATTGAAAAGTCACTAAAGATCACTAGGCTTTTCCAAAATGCTGTTCATCTGCTACTGTCAAAGCCAGAGCGTTCTCCTACTGGGCAAAATGAGCTGCTCTCAGCTTCATGAGAGCAAACTACCGGATACTGTGATATTACTGGAACACTTCAAGTCCTCCGATTGTGTAACTTTGTAGTCAGTCTGTAACTTCTATGCTTTAGCTGTCTACAGTACGCATCCAAATAACCTGAATCTACTTCATCTTCTGTAGAGCATGTAGACCTTAAATGTTTGAGGAAAGCCTCTCAGCCCAAAGTTCTGGCGTTTGAATGCTGTCTGCTGTGTTCTCTCCTTCACCCCACCCCCTTCCTCTGTTAAGGACCTCTGTTCTTCTCCTTAACTCTTGATCACCAGAGTGACCACCCTGGAGTAATGGCTAAACTCATTAGTTAGCCAAACCCAAATGCTTGTCCTAATAGAAGAGGAGAATCTCTTAAGAAGTTGGACCTACCTGTTTCTGTAGCCTTCAGCCTGTGCTTATTAAGGAGCGCTCTTGATGGGAGAGTTTTCCTGTATAATATAAAATAGAAGGTTACCGGAGGAAAATGCCTGTCTACACTTACCAGTGTTTGTCCTGGAATAAGCCCTTGAAAATATGATTAACTTGCATTACTGTACCAAATGTTTGTAGCAAACATGCAGAGTATTTTACTCACACCTGGTGAAATGCTGTAATTTAGATGCTTGAAAATGCTATCCTGAGGGCATTTCTTGATTGTTGGCATGTTTGTTCTTGTGCAGTATGCACTAATCATACAAATTCTGGAGCTGCTGCTTTTCAGAAGATCAGGTCATAGCAAGGGGGAAAAACTTCACAGCAAGTGTGGTCAAACACTGGAAGAGGTTGCCCAGTGGTCATGGAGTCTCCATCCTCAGTAGTCAACTAGACCTAAATTAGATAACTTGGGGCCAACTGTGTGGAGTGAATAGTTTTGACCAGACAACATCCAGAGGCTGTTTCCAACCTAAATGGTTTTATGGTGTGTTTGTAGGTCAGCAGTTTCTCAGCTGCTACATAATTTTGTTTAGGAGAGCTAGCTATCCTGAAGGCTTTTAGAATTTAGTACTCTGGCTTCTACTGTAGGCTTTATATTTCAATCCAGTAAAATTTGTGCAGTGTGGTGGTTGCAGTGTCTTTCTGGACTAATGAGACTCCTGGTAGCGGTTGATACTTAGAGCAGCAGCTGTTATCCCAGAAGCACAGAAACTAAAGCAAGGCTGATATAGCCACTTTCCACAGCAAACGTTCCCTGAATGGTTTGCTGCTCCTGTTACAGCAGGCTGCCAGGATCTGAATGGCTGGGCCCTTAGTCTTCCTACTGTGAGGACACAAGTGCCACCATGTGCTCACATGTTTGTTTATTCCTCAGTTGTGGGTTCCTGACTGGTGATGCATCTAGGGTGGGGATTTCTATGCATCATCAGTTACTTCTGCTCTTGTCCCCAGTCCACTGTTACAAAGCTGCTGTTCTGTGCTTATTGGGGTGTGGCAGCTAATGCATATCTGTTTGAGCTGCTGTTTCCAGCTGCTCTCCCAAAATGCAGTAATACTTTTAAAACAGGCCTCAAGCACTTAAGTACTTGGTTTTCATGACTGATAACAGAAAAAGGCTTGTTAAATAGCAATTGTTTATGGAAGCTTACTCTGTAGGGCTTTGCAACATCAGAAGAAGAATGGGAACTGAATTTCTTGCAGTTGAAGGGGACTTTTTTCAAAAAACAAGGCTTGCCACATCAAAAGGCAGGAATGACATGAAACGAATGCTAGTGCCATGTCATAAGACTTTCCGCTAGAAGCTTCTGCAATTTGTTTCTGCTAGAATTTACTGTGTATCTCTGTTCTTTCCTCTCCTGTGCAGAGAGGAGATCAAAAGTCATCTTTCTACTTACAAGCAGATCTAAGATATAGCTCTGCTTTTAGGTCAAAACTAAGCTGCTTCAACACTAAATACTTTAGAAAGGTATAAAGTCTTATAACGAGAACTATAGAAACAGTTTTATGACGTTAGAGGAAAAAGGAGTCTCTTTCCGTGGGAAACTTCTTGGGGAAGCAGCCACAGAGGATGGCTTTACAAATAAGAGCAGCTTGTTCATCTAGTAGCTCCTCTGAGAAGCCTTTGGTGTCTGTATTAGTCACACTATTGTCAGAAGTGGCAGGTATTTGTTCTCATACCTGGTTCATACCCGTATTTTAGACAACAGTGGTAGGATTTGCTTCCTAATATATTGGAGTGGCCCACTCCTCAGGGTTTTAATCTGGTCTTCCAATAGCGAGTTTGCCTTATGCTATGGTGATGTTGTCATTGATGTCACGGTCAGTGACTGTATCTTCTGTCTGCAGATCTGATTGTTTGCTTGGCACTTGGCATCTGTGGAGAACAAGACAATGGCTGCCAGCAAGAGCAAGAACCAGAGTTCCTTGGCCCTCCATAAAGTAATTATGGTTGGCAGTGGAGGTGTAGGCAAATCTGCACTCACGCTTCAGTTTATGTATGATGAGGTAAGTGGTTTTGGATCAGCTTCTCTAAAGCATAAGAGCTATAGCTTCCTAGACTTCCCTGGTGGGAGCAGGGGGACCAAACATACATAGCAAGAGACCTGGTGACCTAATTGGCCAGAGGAGGTTATAGGAATCTGGGAGGGGTGCCCTCTGGGAAGGTCTCTGCCCAGGAGTGACGAAATTGTTCATTAGTGAAAGAACACCGTCTTCAAAAGACGTGCAGAATATGAATGTGCTTGCCTGAGTGTACAGGGGCAGTTACCTGCTGGGATTTAACACTAATTTTGTTGCCATTTCTTCTAGGCTGCACATTAGAGGTAAGCATTCTGCCTCACTGTGAGCCAGATGATGAAGCAGGCATGCTTTTAACACGATTTCTTCAGTGCTGGTGTACAGAAAGCTGTATGTGACTGTCCAGATCCAAATATAAATTAATGCATGATTCTCTAGTTCAGAAGCTAGTACTTATCTGCAGGCAGCCCACTCAACTGCAGTGACCCAAATACCTCAGTGGGCTGCATCTCTGGGAAGGGACAGGGTAGGTAGAACATTGTAGTTCTTATAGTGAGGTAATCTGGGGTGTCAGTTGCTTGCTGGAGACTGTCTTCTAACTTGAGTTTGGCATAAGGGATTACATGGCAAGGCTAGCTTGAGGGCACAAACCTTTAGATGTACCTAAAGCTAAAGGCCTAAGCTTTAGGAAAGCCCAGGTCAGCTTATTCAGTCTCACAGGAGATCGAAAGGCTGTGCTTTGAGCCTGAGAGAAAGGAGGTGGAAGGATGAGGAGCTTCCACTGGTCCTGTATTGCCAGCACAGAACTACAAGCTGAACTGGCAGTGGCTTTGTGGGTCACATCAATGTTAATGCCCTGTATCTGTGTGCCTGTGTAATTATGGAGCATGCTTTCATGTTCAACAGTTGAGTGCTTTTGTCTGCTCCTGTTTAAGTTTCAGATGGTTATGCCTTAAGTGCTTTTAGAAGTGCTTTCTTCTTGAAGTGGAAGAGTAGATGATGATACCAGGTTGGCGTTAGCTTATACTAGCTGTACCTTTGTCCCTTACATTGTGCTGAAACTGCTGAACAGTGTTTCATGCAGCAAGACAATTTATCTTGACTAGGCAAACTCTTGGATGTATTAAGTACTTTCCTTTTTATAGTAAAATTAAGTGATGTAACTTAGTAGCTGACTGGACTATGGAAAGGCTTTGTGGAACTTAGGTGCCACTGAAGTGTAGAAGAATGGTTATAGGAAAATACTGAGTGCCATTTGACAGTAATTCTAAAAACTAATCCCTATCTTATGCTCTTATGTTCAGTTTGTAGAAGACTATGAACCTACTAAGGCTGACAGCTACAGAAAGAAAGTAGTTCTGGATGGTGAAGAAGTTCAGATAGACATTCTGGACACAGCAGGACAGGAGGATTATGCAGCCATCAGAGATAACTACTTCCGCAGTGGGGAAGGGTTTCTTCTAGTCTTCTCAATAACAGAGCATGAATCCTTTACAGCAACAGCAGAATTCCGGTAAGTAGCTTCTTTTCAGGCGAGAACTTAGTTCCTATGTGGCTCTGACAGAGCTTTTCTTAGACTACAGCTCTTTATCCTTTTTCCGTTCCTGTATGGACAATAATGGTGCCAGTCCAGCAGTTCTGTTCTCAAGTAACTGGTAACTAAAACCACTGTATAGAGCCTCCGGCTATAGTTGCCCTCAGCTTAGGGGTACCTCAGGCCAGCAGCAACTTGGGCAAGTAACAGATTCTTGGACTCCTAGAACGTATGTGCTCCAGCCAGTTCCACAGTCTTGGTGAATGTGGAGTTTAATTAACTTGGAGTACTTCTGGAATTAAGTCTACCTTTTGGCTGGGTTTCAGACACTGTTGCTTACTGCTGGAAGCAGGTGCTCTAAGGAAAGGAAGGATTAGCCTCTGCTCTCAGGTGTGGATTGGTGCCAAACAAGGGTTGGCAGCCAAGCAGTACTATTGTGGGCAGACTTATTCCTAGAAAGACATGCAGTAGTAGTAAATGCTTCCATTTTGTTCCCAGGATTAGCTGCTCCGATGTAAAAATTGGCAAAAGACTGAGCACAGAAACCGCTTGTGCGGTGTAGAAGAAAATCAGGGGACGTAATCCTCTGTTCTGCTCTCAGTAGAGGATTCATGTAGGCAGGTTCTTCAGGGGATGTATTCTGACCTTCACTTGCTAATAGCTATTGCCTCAGTAGAGAAGGTAATCTGGAGACTCCCTAGAACAGCTGTGCAACCTGGAATGAAACTTTGCAAAACATAAGGAAAGTGTTACAAGTTCCCTATGTCCTCCAGAATAGGAGCTCTTTAATGATCGGTCTGGCTTAGGCGCACTTTGCTCTAGTGGTACGGGATACTTAAGGAAATGTCTACTTTGCTTAGCATTAGCACTTAGACTTATTTCTAGAGTTTTTTTTAAAGCTGCAGCTAACTTTCCCACGCTCTGGGACAGTCTAGGTTCTGGATGTTTTAAATCCTTCCAGCAGTGCTAGGAGACTACTGAATCCCTCATTAAGAGGGATGAACATGTTCCTTTGTCGCATAATGCTTCTGTGACTTTTGCCAGATTTTAGAAAGATCACAGGCTTCTAGGGCACTTTAGCAGAGCTATTCTGCTCATTTTCTTCTGTTTGAAGGACTTAAATGGACTAAAGAGTTGAACTTCTGGGCTGCAGAAGTCAGTGTTCAGACTATTCCCGATGCAAGGTGGAGGGAAAAGGCCTTTCAAAAACAGGAGGAGAATGAGATATTTCCTGGAAGTACTTGGCTTGAGGTTTTGCTTAAGCAAAATCAAAGCCTTAAGCCTTGGGCTTAAACACTCCTTTTCATCTCAAGGTTATCTCTCCTTTTTTTGTCAGACTTCTGTAACTAGTGAACTGTGTAGGTTCAATATTCTAGCACAACTAAACAACAAAACAGCAGGCAATGCTTGCCTTGAAAGTGAGTGACCTAAAAGCTTTGAGATGGGGAATTGCCTACTCCTCAATAGTTCAGAGGTGATCAAGGAGTGGAATTAGCTAAATGTAATTTTTAGTTGGGCTGACATCTAATAATCAGCTCCTTGGAAGACCTTTCCAGGTTCAGGGAGGAGGGAAGTAGGTATGAGTTGTCAACATCTTGGGCTAAACTATTGATTAGTGTTATTGATCCTCTAACTTCTAACATTCTTAAAGTATGAATAAGTTGAATGTTGAACTGTGGGTTTATTTTAAGCCTTGTTAGCTCTCCTGCTGATGCTGTGCATTCGGTGTTTGCTTTCAATGCCTCCACAATCTGAAAATGTGTGAAGGCACTGTTGAATGTAACAGTGGATTGTCTGCTTCTTCAGTTTTAACACTGTATTTTAGACTCTCATGAACTCTATATGTTCATTCAGCTGTTTTGTGGATAGAAAATGCAAGCATCTAAAGTGATTTTTTTAAGTCAGTGGGATGAAGAAGGTGGTAGCACCATGCCTGCATTGGCCCTTGTTCATAAGGAAATGAAAGGCAAACTAAGAATAAGTGCACACTGGTACAGCTTTTCCAGAGTCTTAAATGGACAGCAGCATGTGTCAATCTGGTTTCTGGCTGTGTTTCAACTCCCATAATAGCACAGACTTTAAGACTAGCATGCAGCATGGCTCTCAGCTTACTTTCCCAGGTGCTGACAGGTTCTCTTCAAATGACAAAGGGTGCCTTGATAATACTAATTGCAATTTTTTTCATGGAGGTTTCAGCAAAGGAAGATTGCTAGTCTTCTAGCTCAACGCTACTCAGTAACTCTCCCCTTGTACAAGGGTTAGGTGGCCATTAATAATATTTTTGCAAGCTGTGTATGCTTTTCCCAACCTACTGGCTTGGCAAAGCTTTGATGCTTCCTAGGCTTATATTGAGGTGGGATGTAGCTTGGAAACTGAAGACAGTTGCCAAGCATTAAGCCGCAACTTGGCAGATGTGGCACTCGCACTTCTTTTTCATTCAGATGTGAACTCCTGCTGTGAATTGCTGTTCTGCTATACAACTTTACCTTATTAAAACCTGGGTAGCAGACATTCCAACTAAATGGTAAAACAGCCTTTCTGGAAACCTGAGCCTTATATTGGTGTAAAGCCTATAGCATCAGTGTATTAAACTTGGAATTGTTTAAAAACATGCATGTTCAACTAGAAAATCTTGAGTACTGTTATAAACACCTGATGTAAGCAGACCACGCAATCCACTCCTGATAAGCATGGGTTTTTGCTGCTGCTGCTACTAACAGATTTTTTTTTTACTTTGAATACGTGACGCATTAGGGAACAGATCCTGCGTGTGAAGGCTGAAGAGGATAAAATCCCTTTACTGGTAGTAGGAAACAAGTCTGATTTGGAAGAGCGCAGACAAGTGCCTGTAGAAGAGGCTAGAAGCAAGGCAGAAGAGTGGGGTGTGCAGTACGTAGAGACCTCTGCCAAAACTAGAGCAAATGTAGATAAGGTAAGACAAATGACTTGCTTCTGTTACAGTAATGTCACTAACTTGTTTAGTTGCTGAGTGACTAATTCTTGGTGTGTTTGATGTGTTTTGTTTTTTTCCCTCTTCTCCTGGGACTATAGCAAGTCCATACTTGATCTTCTGAAAGTGTAGGTTATCCAATTTGCTCAATGGACTATGTTAACTTAAGCAAATACCTAGCTTAGAGGAGCTAGAGAACCAGTATAAGTTAGTACTATTTTCTTATTTTAGCTGTTTGTATCTGAACCAACTTTTCAATAGTACATTGGGTAGATAGGTGTAAGGACTGCAAGAGTGTGCAAGAGGACCACAAGTTTTGTCTTGTTTATTGGCTGTGTCTCATTATAATAATAGCAAGTCTACAAGCTATAGATGCCTATGAAATTGTTTTCCTTCCTCTCTTCAGAGCTACATATGGCGTGGCTGATGTTAAACTTTTTTTGCTTTTGCTGAGACTGCTCGGAGTAGTAGAAAACTTCTTGCTGTGTCCCTGTCCCATTTTATGACTTGTCTGTATTGGTCTGGGTCTCATCATTCTCATGTGTTTCTGCTGCTGGTTTCTTGAATAAACCTTGCTTTTGTGGGAGTTCCTGAAGAAAAAAATAAGCTATGACTATTCAGTGTTGATCCAGTAGGAAAAACCAACAGTTTCACACCTCCTGCTCGTTCTGTGTGTTGTTGGGGGTGTCTTGAAAAAGAAGATATCCTTTACTTCACCAATCCACCAAAGATGGTGTGAAACTCCTACTGTTGGGTCTCCTAAGGAGTCCAAAGGCATGGTTTGGTAACCTGCATCTGTTCTGTTTGAGGATTACAAATTGTAAATCTTTCTCTTTGGACAGAACATAGGCAGCTAGCCAGATTTCATGTGTAAAGTTAGCACTTGTGAACTGCTTCCTATTTCTCTTAATTTGTATTAATTCACTGGTAGAAGTGCTCTTGGTACATAACTTATCTTATGGGAACTCCTGACTTCTCTCACTCCGGATAAAATGGCGCATAGAAAACTTTTGAGACCTTTTGGTTATAAAAGACATGGCATAATTCAAATCTAGTAAGGAAACATTCTGACTTGTGGGATATCACTGGGAAGTCAGACTGTCAGATATAAAGATGGAATGATATAGTAAAATATGAGTACCTGAACTCAAACTTTGCGTATGAGCTGTCTAATATGACCAAAAAGTGCTTAGCCCACTCCTACTAAACTGACCAAAAAGTGCTTAGCCCACTCCTACTAAACTCTCTGATCAGTTGAGATTAACAGGAATATGGCTGTATATCTGCAGTGCCCTCGCATCTGTTTTGAAAGGTATAGTGTTCTAGACCTACTCTCAAGTCTTCTAGGTCTTGTGTGGCATATCAGTTTTCCTTGGTATAATAAAATAATAAACATTGTTTTTTCTCTAAGTCACATTCACAGCCACTGTGATGATTAAATATTGGCAGTGTGGCAGAATAAGAGACTTCTAAGAGAAGGTTTTTAATGTTAGAAAGATCTTATTTCTGATCAGTAGCAAGATCTTGTTTCCAAATATCCAAGAGCTGGGTAGTTCTCGGTTTTAAAAAGGCAAACTCTGTGGAGCAACACTAAGCTTTTGCTGTTTTGTAGTGCTGAAAAGCATAGTTTCCTAATGCCTCTCTACAGTGAAACAGCTGTTGTATCTTACTGGTGGTATGTGTCTAGACATCAGATTTGCAGAAGTAAAAATCTTCAGATTTTATAGTGAGAACTTCATCTGAATAATCACTTTTCTCTGAAAAATCTTTCTTATACAGGGGCTTGAGAATTTTCTGTGCCCTGACATTGTTACTTTAATGGTGCATCCCAGTTATAGAACAAGCAGAATACTACTGAGAAACATATGCACTTTTAACTACCTGAACAGGACTGGCTTAAGTAATTTGCCTAGTTAACACATGAGATGCCTAGCTGGGAATATTTTAGGGACAAAAGTTCTCATGAACCCTGAATGCTACTGCATATTGTTTTCCGACAAGACTGATATTGAATAAAAGCCTCTTGAAACAGGCTACTAAATGAGTTAGTAGCCAGGTAAGACTGTCCCACTCCTTGTACTGCACAATTGTGATGCTGCTACATCAGTGTATCTTGTGCTACATCCTAATTTTTGCCTGATATAGTAGTCTGTATCTGCTTTCTGCTAGCAGAACTTGTTTAATCTTTCTTTTTCTTCTTCTCCAGGTATTCTTTGATCTAATGAGAGAAATCAGAGCAAAGAAAATGTCAGAAAACAAAGACAAGAATGGCAAGAAAAGTGGCAAGAACAAGAAAAGCTTTAAAGAAAGATGTTGCTTACTGTGATGCTTGGGAACTGTAAATATCTACAGGTGGCATGGATAAGATACCACTAAAGATATAGGGCTGGATTCATGAAAGGAAGTCTGTATTGACTCCCTTATCTCTTGCTTTGCATATCACACCTTCAAAATGTGAAAACAGAACTTTGAAACCGTTTCTGGTATCCAACAAAATCTATGACTACTTGCACAGAAATGGGCTCTGTCTTCCCAATGTCTTTCAAGGCTAGATATATACTGAATCTCAGAACTACAATAATTCTGCTTGGTTATACAAAGTACTTTCGTATTAATTTCGTAGTATATTTTAATGTTTCTCTGAATGTTTTTTCTCTTGAACCTCTACTGGCCTTAAAGCACAGCTGTTCAGGTTCGAACAATATTTCACTGTCTTTACCGTCTGTTGCAAACTGCAGAAAAGCTAGATGACATCTGGTAAGGGTTTGAGTCCCCATCTTCTGGGGTCACTGATGTCTTACACTGGGATCTGCTGCTTTCCTCTCCATCCTCCATTTAACAAATAGCAACTGACACTTGAGAGGCATTTCTAAATGCAAGTTAACTTTCTTCCTGTTCAGCTGAGTCAATATAGCATTCATGAATCAAGCTTGTGGACTCGATTCAGACTTAGGTAATGCAGCAATTGGTATTTAATTACTGGCTAGGTGCATTCCCCGCTGGTCTGTTTTCTCATCCTTAAGTTAGTGTGGTGTGGGGTGAGAAAAATGACTGTAAGACCTTCTTTGAAAGGAATTGTATTGCCACCATCTCCTTGAAATGCTGTCCTGGGTTTCTTCCATATTTTACGACTAGATTCAGTTAAGTTTGTTCTACATCAGTCGTCATTCTCCTCCCTGGTACTGGACTAGTGTAAATGGAAGTGTTGATTTCATCTGTCTTTATGTTGCAACATTTGTGGTCATGCTGGAGAAGTGGAAACTTACGCATCTCTCTTGGTGAATATGAATACTCTGAAGAAGATGGGTCACATCACACAATCATAATCTGGAGTTAGTGAGGCGTACATGCTACCTCTCAATGATCAGTCGGCTAGTGAGTTGCACGGTGTCAAAAAGCAAGTGAAGTTAAGCAGTTGCCACATCTGTTACTCACTTAACTTTGTATGTTCTGTTTCTGATGCAGAGCAACCTAGCACATGGAGACACATGTTGTTTTGCTGTCAGTTACACTTTAGTCACGTTTTAATCAACAAAGCCAGCCTAGAAATGGGAGAGAAGTCAGTATTTTAGCACATTATCTTGTCAGCCTACTAAGTGCAGTTGCCAAAAACTTTTGTTGCTATTGCAGAAAGTAACTGTCTCTCCTGATCATGAAGTCTCTCAGTGAATTACAGACTTCTAATTTGAAGAAATAGATGGTTTTAGAAAGTAGCAACTGTACCTTGCTTGTTACCAGATGCTTAAAATCCAGTTACTTGGAAGAAAAACTTGAGCAGCACTAAATTAACAAATATTGTTCCTCCTTGGGGTGAAGGAGAAGCAAATATCGTTCAGTATTTGGTATTGTAACTTGGGGTTGAGAAGCATTTTTAACATGTACTAGATTGCTCTTGTGCATTCTGCCTCTGAACTTTGAAAAGAGTAAGATGTGTTAGATATTAGAGCCTCTGTTGGTCTGAGGTTTTGCAGGGACTTATCACAAACTCATTGTCTTCCATAACTAGTTCTCCTTGTCAGGCAACTCATTGGATTGGGGAAACTGTACTAAATAAAAGGTGCTGTAATCTTCGTTCTTGTCAAGTTAAATTCCTTGGTTATTAGTGTTACCTTATATGCCCGGAAAAAATCATTAACCAAATTTGAAACAAGATAATTAGAATGGCATTACAAAGCCAGACAGTATTGAAGCAGAGGCTGGGAGCCTGCTGGCTTACAGAACTTGTCACTTGAGATTGTATATATAAATGATATAGTTCAAACACTTAACAAGGGCACTTGGAACTGTAACGCTTCTAGCAAAGCTTCCTTTTGAACTTCCATGGATAAAGTCTGTTTGAGTGCATGTTGTGCATACAGCAAATGAATGTCTACTTCTGGAAGAAGACGGATCACTTAAGTTGGATTTTAGTTGAGGCCTAAAGGTTAAATCCTTAATTAACCTGAAGGAAAAACAACAGTTCAGTTCCCATTACAAGCTTAATAGTTCAGGCCTCTCTGAGGCAGAGTGTAAAATGTGTCTAAAAAAAAAACTGAATAAGTGTTTTTGCCATATGAATAATGAACTTGGCAAAGTGCACAATGAGCAGCTCAGAGTTGTACAAGTTCAAGAGTCTTGTGTGCTTTGACCTGTGATTTCATTAGTCATAAAGTACCTGACAGTACTTGATAGGACGGATGAAATTCTACTCGGAGCAGTCAGTTTCCTGCTGGTGTCCGTATAGCCTGTGTGCTGTTCTCACTCAGGTTATTTTTCAACTGATAACAGGTCCCCCGCTGAGGTGGGCTTCCTTGGAAGAAGGTGCTTGTCATTACATTACTTGATACTGCAGCTCTTTAGTGTTCTGTGCTTGTCACCTTTTTCCAGAAGTACTAAGCCTGGAGACCAAATATGGCAGCTTTCCAGTATTCCTCTTCTGTGCTTGTGGTAAACAGAAGTTTAACTTCTCAGTGATAGCTGAGAGCATGGTGAAGCAGCTACCTTGACTACTTCATAAGCAGGCAAAAAGCTTTCAGACTTCCACCAGGAAGGCAATAAAACTGTTCCCTTGGACTGGAATAGTGCTGCTTCTGCTTCACATGGTGGAAGTGCCTCAATGCATATTCTTCTGAATAAGGGCAGTGGAATTTGAGGGTCCTTGAATGACCTCCGAGCTTGCTTGATTGGACATCACTAGATATCAGCATCAAGTTGGGTTGACTGGATTAAAAAAAGGATTGGAGCAGAAATGCTTCCTTCTGGATTTGGAACTCCCTGAGAGCAGTGTAAAGGGACCTTTAGCTGCTAATCTAAATGGCTGCTTGCAGCTCAGGTGTATAAAGCGGAGGGAGGGAGCTTAAGCAAGTGTGTGGTGCTGCCTACTAGCTGTGCAGAGCTGAGACAACTGAAGGCTGTGTTGAAGCTGATATAGTAGGTAATTAAAGACCAAGGCTTCACTTTGTCACTGTAATCTACTCTTCTCCCTGGCCTATGGCTATAGGCAAGTAACTAATATTTAAAGCTGGAGGTCATGCAAGAATCAACTGTGCACTTGCACTTAAGCATTCAAATAGTGCTTTTGCATAATGGCTTAGCGTTTAAAAAGTCAGGGAGCTGTTTTCTGCAGGAGAAGTGTAGTCTTTTGTATTTGGCTTAGTTGTGGGTATTTCTTAAGTGCTCTAGCAAGCAGATATGCATGAGACAAGCCACCCTTATAACAGAGGCTAAGTCCTGTATGAAGTTCTGCTTTAAGAAGTAGGTTATACAGCAGGAGCGTGAGGCCAAGTTCTCTTTCTAGAGAGAACATTCCAGATGAGTGTTCAGATAAAGCATAAAGAGCATCTTCAACTATCTATGCCATGTGTATTCTGTAGAGACTAATAAACTCCTTTGTTTTAACTTCTGGGCAAAGTCTTGCTTTAATGAAGAGAGAAAGGCACGTACATTTCCTGGGCATTAAACTTCAGGAAGGCATCAGCAGCCCTCTGAAGTGCCAGTTGTATCCTATCGGGCTAATACAATGTTTTGGAATATTTCAGGTCTAAGGCGCAAAACAGTGATCTGGAATGTAGTAAGAGGAAAAATGTCTTAACTAGATGCTCAGCATACTTTTTAAACTTATCCTGAGTGTTAAGCCAGTGCTGGGATCTGACAGGTCTATCAATCCTTCCTCAAGAGGAGGATACTGTTTATCAATGCAACTCACTCTAGAGCTTATGAGGACGGAAGCTTTCCTTAATTGCTATAAGCATATGTTGCTATGCTCACCTCCTGTTGACTTTATTTGGGGGAAGCAAGGGCGGGGGGCGACAAAAAAAGCTATGATTCTCACCATAATCTCCACACTTCACGGGAATGGCAGGTGCTTCTCTTGGGAGGGGAAGGTGTTATCTCTAACACCAAGAAAGAGGTTTAACATAGAGGAAGTGATTGTGATTGCAAGATTTAATAAACCTGCCTCTAAACCATTTATATTATACTCTACAATACAAATTCTACTTTTTTTTCATTATGTAGCTTCAGAGCTTTGTCTCTAACTTGCACAAATGTTTTTAATGTCTATAAAAGTGGTCATTCTTCATTATCATGCTAATACAATTGATTTGTATTACTATTAATAATAAAAAGGCACCATGTTTGCTTGATAGTGATTTTTTTTTAGGTTTTGTTGTAAGTCTAATCCCAAAGCTATTGAGCCAGCTAGCCAATGACTTTCAGTTTCCAGAACTAACTTGTCTGTATCAGACTTGTAATAAGATTAATACAGGCTATAGAGAGGGGAGGAGGAGGTGACTTTAAGACTCCATCATTTTTGGACGAATGGTCTGCATATCAGTTTCTGAATCGAGCTGCTACAATAGCTTGAATCAAACTAGTTCAACTTAATTTCCCACAGCCTAATTAGAACCAACAGCTTATGTCAACTGTTAAATGTCAGAGTTACTTTCCTCCCTCCTTCCCTGGTCAGTCTTGCTGATCAAATAGCATAAGTAATGCGATGTAGGTATATTGATTCCTAGTTTCCTGAGTATGCCAAACAAGATCCTCTGTACAGGTCTGTGATGAACAAACTTCGGTAAGGAAGCTAACGTTTCTCTGAGGCAGGATGGTTGTTCAGCTGCTTGGGACAGACTCACTCCACTGTTAAATCCCATTTCTATGCTATTTTTGAAAAAGTGATTCATAGCAAACTGGATGCAGTTTTTGCTGTCATACAGGTGAGAAGTGGAACATCTCTTTGCTGATGCACTTCTGGCCAACAGTTACAGCAATCTACATAGTCTTGCTTATGTGGTGCTTGCCTGGTGCTGGTGCTTCGGGTTGCCACGTTGGTTTACGTAGCTCTCCTTTCTGGTGAATCTTTTTTCTGAAAGTCCAGCAGAGAGGAAGGGGTGCATGAAAAGTCTTATTTAGGAAGTCGGAGGGGGTTCTGGAGGCAACTTGTGCTATGTAGCTATGGCTAAAGCCTAGAATGAAACCCTTTCCTTAATATCGGCTGTGAATGCTCATGAGGGGTAAGTGTTCTGTAAGCTACAGCAATGTACAACTGGAGAATGATTGTATACATATAGCCCGACTTCTGCCTTTGTGCTTGCCTATATTCTGCCTTTACCCAAACACTTTTCTGACTGCTGTGGTTTCTTCTGTGTGCAAAACGCTGTCCAGGTTCCTGGGCTGGTTTCTGGAGGTCTTCCTGAGAACTGCTGGCTCCATCTTGTGGCTTTCAGAGTTAGAAACTCTACCATGGAGAGGGGCTGTTCAGCATGCTCAGGCAAGCATACGCATAGCTGCTGCTAATCTGCTACCTGAATTACACGTGGAAAACCATGCTAACTAGATTCCTCCGTTCTCGTTGCCCTGCTGCATGATTTTCTTGTGCAGTAAGAGTCCTTGTTCTAAATTAAAGGTTTCATTTTGCATGCAAATGCTGACATTAATTCTTGCCTAAACATTCTAGTGCGTAACAGAACATCCAGTTTCTCATGAGGATGGTGGCTTTACGATTTCTATGGCATTATACCAGTTTGCATTGCAAGTGTAAGTTTGTTCTGCTCACTGAGCACTGATTTGCATGCCAGGAAGAATACTTATTGTTCAATGGGACTATGCGGTATTTCACAAAACATTTTGTTTCTAGGGGTAACTAAAGATGCTGGTGTTACTTTGCCATATAAAGCCTTAATTGTGTAGGGGGTGGGGGAATATCCCATTTAAAATCCCCTCCCCCCAGTCTCTCTTCCCCCCAAGTACAAACTACTCGGTGTCTGCTGTGGAAATGGGAGCTACTAGGGAAATGCCAGTAAGTGGCCCCTTATGCCATGTAACTCCAGAGGGGCTGGAGATAAAATGCTGGTGTAAGACTGGGCCCACATGCTCTGGAGTTGCCTTCCTGATAAAAATGATTAATCTCCAGAGTTCGCAGCAAGTTCTCTTCAGTGTTACTTGGCTTTGAGGCAGAGTCATGTTTTTGATATAATCAGTTTATAGAGTTTGTTTTTAAAGTGTAGTGTTTAGGCTATCGGAGTTTTTATGCATGTTGGCTTCGTAGGCCAAATACCAGAACTCAAGGACAAACTTGTGCATACATGTAGCACTGAAAGACAAGGAAACTTGCTCCTTACTGCTTAATAGTACCTCTTTTTTTCTTTCTTTTTTTTTTTTAAAGGAAAACACATGCAGCAAACTGAACTTGTTGTTTAGATGAGGGTTTCTCAACCTGTAGTCTGAGTGCTCTGTGACACCATTACCTGCATCACAAAGTGATGGTGTTGGACTTCTATATGTATCGCCAAGGAACTGGGGACTAGGGGAAGGAATTATTGTTCAAAACTAGCCAAATTCTTGCTCGTTTCTAAATGGAAATCATCATGCCAACATTGCCCAAGATTGCCTGTAGTTTCACTCCTAAAAGTCTGGCTGGCTCTTCAGTTTTAGGAAGGCTGAAGAAAAGCTAAGAGAAATGCTCCCAGTCCTAGTGACAGAGGCGAACCTCCCTGACAAAAGGACTGCAGTGGATCCTTGGCCAGAACAGTGTGATTCGGAAATCAGAAGTTAAACTTCACTTCCTTTTTGGTAGGTGGAGCTATGAAAAG